TAAATTATTAAAATACAAAGACCTCAATAGTTAATATTAGTCATAGGTAATACTTTACTCACTGGAATAAAATGGGCATGAGCCTTATTGTACAAAAAGTTAGTATATATAACATTACAATGTTGATGTTAATTATTGAATTAATAATTAATAATATAACATAAAATATTAGGTACCTAATAATACAATCTAGGACCTAGATAACAACTTCAGTATGTTAATGTGAGATTTAATTACCTTATGAAACATAATATCTGAAATCAAAGCAAAGATTAAGACTACTACTGTTTTTATGAAATTTCTCCTCAAACAATATAAGGAGGTGCCTAGTTCTATGTAAGAACTAAGAAATAAAAAACTTATTCAATACCTATGTAAATAATCGATATCATTTATATTGGTTTTGACTAAAAATAAAATAAAAATGTTTACTTTATCTATAAAATACAGAAATCCATATAGTGGTGAATTATTTAATCATCCTAATGGTTCAGATGTTTACCAAGGCGTACAAGTTGACTATAAAGGTGAGGTAAGTAAAGTAGTACGAAATTAAAGAGTATCGTACTCATTTTCAAGTCTAATTGATTATAATATAAAAATCTATGAAAACTTCAATAATTACTTGTGGTTCATTTTGAAAGGAAGTAAAAAGTGAACATTTCCTGAAAGTATTAAATGGAAATAAGACAGCTATGATGAACATTGGCTCAGGTCGTGTAATTGAAAGGTAAGAAATGTTTGAGTGATGTTTGTTCAGTGATCAAGTTCTAATAAGCTATTAATTAATATTATTTTATAGTAATCATAGAGATAATATTTTTGTGTATTTTGTTGGTCATGGAACATCGGGCATATTGGCATTTCCAGAAAATTATCTTTATGCTGATGAACTAAACAATGCATTACAATCAATGTATAGTGATCATAAATTTAATGGTGTAAGATCTTAAAGTTGTATTCATCCAGAAATAGACATTAAATAGGTAAAGCATATTTATGTTTTAATTTTTCAATTTAATTTTTAGATGCTCTTATACATAGAATCATGTAGATCTGGTTCCTTATTTGATGGCATACTAAGTGAATCTAACAATAGTAAGCAAAAATATCTGATCTAATAATTTTACAATTTAATATTAGTTATCTTTTATTATATTAGTATTTGCTGTAACTGCCGCTGGACCGAGAGAGAGTTCATGGTCAATATATTGCATTGGTGGAGATGGAATACCAGATGTTTGCTTGGGTGATGAATTCAGTTGTACATGGATTGAAGATCAAGCAAATGTATTTTTTATTTTATTACTTAAAACAATTCAATAACATTAATATTTCATGTTTTATTTTTATGAAGCTCGGTATATTATATCCATTACAAGTGAACGAATTGGTCGAAAAAAGAACTGTTCTTAATCATTTTAATTACATTAGAACCACAGTTAAACTAAGTAATGTGATGCCATATGGAGACTTTAGTGTTGGGCAAGACAAATTGTCAACATATATTGGCAAATCACCCGAAGTATTTTCCAAGTATTCTTATCATAATAGTGATATTCCATCATTTAATAAACAAAATGTATGTGTCATATTATAATAACATAATCAATTTAAATACTATCTTTCTAAATTTATATACATTTTAACAGGATACAAATATGTCCAGTTCCAAATTTTCAAAAAATATGTATAAACCGTATCAGACAAAGGAACTACATAATGAAAAAAATTATTCTTTGAAACAAAGCTCCATTTACAATAGCATTGTATGTATTTCTAATTTATACTAAGATAACAACCAAAAACAAACATTGCCTACTTAATTCTTTGTAGATGAGAAAAGTTATGGACAGAACATTTTCTACAATTCTTCAAAAAGTTATAAAACAATTACCCGGATTTATTGGACATATTGATGAGCTTAAAGAACTTCCTAGTAATTTGCCATTAAATGTATTTCCATGTTACAGACAAACTTTGGATCACATCACTGCAAACTGTTTTTCTTTACCCAAGGTGAAATTACAAATAATTAACTATTTAAAATTCAATCATCTATACTCTGTTCAGAATAACGCGTACGACATGGCCCATGGTATCAATGGCAATTGTTTGTAAAGTGGGGCGAATGCTTAAACTAGTCCAGTCTTTGTCTGCCGCCCGGTGTGTTCTCATTCTGAACCAAGTATAGATCTAGCTATGAAAGTGTAAATATTTATAAAATAAATTTTTAATTATTTTTTTTTACCGAGTTAGTGAGCAGAACAATGTATACGTTTTAAATCAGTTAATTTAAATTGTAGGTAATTCATAATAATAAATAATATTCATATTTCATAAAATATAAAAATATACTAATATTTGGAAAGAAACACTGACAACAGTACTTAATATAGGTATACAAAATTGTTTTAAAAATTGAAGAATCTATTTTTTTAATAATTTATTACAAATAAAAATATGACTGTTCTATTTAGTCCTGATACTTAAAAGTTATATTCAATTGAAATTTATTTTGACTTTCTCAGAAATTCCAGGATTTATGCTAAAATAATTTTTTTACCTAATAATATTTATATTGTTTGAAATATATAGAATATATACTCACTTAATGAAGTGCACGTATTTTTCAATCTATGTACAAGAGTTATAAACAGTGAATGGAAATCTGAAGAGTTTTATAATGTGTTTGAACAAGTTGTACACAATGTCTGCTCAAAAAATTCATCAACATTTTCAAATTTAAATAAAATTACTGATATTTATTGAAATGTTTTTTTGTCAGTTTTCAATATTGTCACAATACATTAAGATTTAAGATAGGATAAGTATTAGGATTTTAATTTTAAATTTAATTTATACATTACTATTGAATATTATGTGTTTCATACTACTATTACAATATTCAACTTATATATTATGAATAGGTTTGAGTCATACACATTTTAGTTGTAATTGAACTGATACAAAATCTAGAATATTAAGAGGACGCCACACCCGCATGCGTTGTCTCCGTCTTACAAACGAGTAACATACCAAATTTACGCTCAGCAGTTCAAGTTGTATGCCGTTAGCTTAGAAATTAGAGTGAATTAACCTATTATGAAACTTGATGGTGAGAACTTTATCTGTGTTTTGTTGGAAGTTTTTTTACAATAATTCAGTTTTTAAGTGAGTTATGAGCATTTTTAATTTACATTTATTATACAAGCATACCTCGCTTAAAAACTGAAGTATCGTAAAAAAAACTTCCAACAAAACACGGATAAAGTTCTTACCATCAAGTTTCATAATAGGTTAATTCACTCTAATTTTTAAGCTAACGGCATAAAACTTGAACTGCTGAGCGTAAATTTGGTATGTTACTCGTTTGTAAGACGGAGACAAAGCATGCGGGTGTGGCGTCCTCTTAAATAATAACTCTATTCTTATAATCTTAATAAAATTGAGTGGTGACCCAAACCAATTAAGCTAAGCTTGAATTGTTTTATCATTTACTTTTAATTGATTCACACAAGACTACTTGTGAATTGATTAACATTAAATAATATTGAAATATTGTAATTACATTTTATGTAAATTTCTTGAAAATGCACTCATTTATTTATAACCGTTTAATGTTTGTAATAATTTTATTGAGTTAATTTAAGTGCATATTTTGTAACTCATTTTATTTCTAGAAAATCAATTAATTTTTCACTAAAAAAGATATTTAGTCATATACTGTGTCCAATTAATGTAAGTATTTTACTAATAATTATTTTAATTCATAATAGACAATTTTTCCATTAAATAAAATTGTATTATTTAATTCATTATAATATAATTATTTAAAAGATTAAAGCAAAATATGTGGAGTAACTTCAGAAGGGTTATCAAAATTAAAAGTAAACTTTTTTAAACTAATAATATTAATTTTTTTTTAGTTAACAATATTTATTGGACTAGGGTTTGGACCAAAAGCATTTCACTATTTTTTTATGTCTCAGGATCCTCAATAATTTGTAGGTTTTTTTTTTATTCGATTGAAGTCTAAGCAATAAGCTGATGAAGATTTATATACATCTAGATTATAATTGGTGTACAGAATGACTGGGGTTTATCTGATCATCAGTATGATATAATCAGTCATCGTACATACATAGGTAAATATAAGTCATTAAAAAAAAAAAAACCAACAAAAAAACTGTTCCCTGTTACCTAGTCGTTTAATAATTAATAATAATAATTATAAATTATAGTTGAGGACTTTCATACCTACACTGTCAAGCACCAGATTTGCATCTTGTAAATTGTAATCATAAAATAGTAAACTAGTATCATTAGCCACATACTAAAATTAAGCGTTCTGTATTCAGCACTTTTGTAATTTGTATCAAACAAAGTAATACTATTGAGTAATATACTTACACAGAACTTATATAATCAATTATCAACAGTACTACAGTAATGCAAATTACTCATCATCACAGTTTTGAACACTAGGATGCATACACGATGTAAGATATACTATGTATAATGTATATATATATTAGTATATCTTAAATCGAGGATGCATATTACATATCCTTATAAGTTCTATGTATAGACATGGCGCTTCATTAATTATTATATGACATAAATAGTAAAACAAATTGGAAAACGGTAAATACAAAATAATAAAATATAGCCTGTGTTAGTGTACATCACGAATTCAGGTAATAAATAATAACTTTAACTGCTAATAATAACTACTTTTTTTATAATAAGATATGTGTGTATGGCGTGTATCTTAATTCGTGGTGTTAATTACATTTTCAATATTCTCCCGGCATTCCGGCGGCCGGCTATCAATCATAATTCAAAACTTTTAGTGGTGGTAACGACCGTACGTGTGGCAACACTGTAAAACGCCTATCATGGTTAATTGAACATATTAATATTGTATTTTACTTTCTTCCGCACACGTCACACAAATTCACAATACACATTACCCACGTCACCCACATATGCATACACACACACTCACACACACTGTACATACGTCACACACGCATACGCAGTACACACACAACAATGGTCCATTCATATCTTAATGATTTCGAGACCCCATTCGATTGTAAACATAAATACATAATATTATTACTATTATCATGATTATTATTATCTCTTAGTAAGTTCGATCACCCGAAAACAAGGTCGGCGGCGAGTAATGAAAAAGAGAAATCTGTTGTCTGATCTCTAAAAGTCCTGGATCTCAGAGCACTAGACTACAACTTTACTAGTACTAGAGCGGTTGTTAGTTGACCCGTCGGCCGCGGTTTTACGTTTGACAAGACTCGACTACACCGCCGTAATCGTTTTTATTCTTCCATGGTCGGAGCTACACGCCACCAAGGGAATCATTGAACTCCACACCGATTACGACTGGCGTGCCGCCCGACCACCACCATCAAATCATGACCATTTCGGTTCACAACAACGACTAATCGTAACGATGTGATAAACACAATACACATTATATATAAATATATACTCATACACACAAAAGCGTACACACACAACTATGTAATTTCGTAACGTTGTGTCGTTGTAGGTGTACGTGGATTATATATGTATATGTATAATATATATAAATATATATATACTTATACATATAAATAATATGAATTGTGTGTGTGTTTGTGTGTGCGCGCGCGCGCAGCGTTTGTGTTCGTACTTCCATAATCGATTGTAAACTCGAATAATTTGTCTATAATATTGTTATTGTTGTCGTCTTAGCCTTTGTCGTTGCCGTTGTTGTCGTTGATGTTGAAGATTTAAGTATAACGCCGCAGTCGTGTCCGCGTCGGCGGACGCGCGACCGCCTGCCCGCCGAAGTACGGCCGAGTAAAATGGCCCAAGCCCGAACGCGTTGATCGTCGCCGGGCCAAACGAGACGACTGACACAGTTGGCGTGTGCGTGTGTTTGCATGTGAGTGTTTGTTTGTGCCCAGACCGTCGGGTACTGGGATTATCCCACTATCGGCACTATCCCGGTCCTAATCGCCAACACGTTCGTGCTTTATCTACGGGCTTAATGACTGGTTGACGAATAATAATCTTTCAGAGCATGACATATATCAACAACGCAATCATGCTGATCGAAGAAGAAGTCGCTGGCAACATGTCGAACAAACACAACAGCAAGGTTCAAGATAAAAATATTTGGAAATCATTGCGGACACACATTTTATCTCGGCGTGAGAAGAACAAACAAGGTACGTTTTCCGCGTTATTAGTCGTTAGGTACATAATATCTTGTAGCACACTTGGTAGGTGGCGCTCAAATTATTTGTTAGATGTTTTGATGGTAGGCGCAGCAATATGAGTTCTAATATTTTACGGCTGAGTTTGTAGACGAAGGAAAGCAAATGAGAAATCAAAATTAATCTAAAACTAGAGCATTCAAAGTGACTGAAAGGGTGTCAGTAATTTGCTGTCCAAAATATTCCCACGTATGACTTGAAATCAGTTAACTGAACAATTGTTTTTTTTTGATAATGCTATTCAATTTCATGAATAAAAGAATAGACTAATTTCAACTACCTACATATTATTCATTTAATTTCCATAAATTAAATGCTGGATGTGTTTTCAGTTATCCTCTTGGGCTTTGTCCTTTTATTTATTTATTATACGTTTAGATTTTGTTCCAGATGGGTGTTGAATCAATTATTAGTATAGGATTTAGCATTTATAATTTTATCTTTTTTTGTCAAAACTCTTAATACAATCAGAACCTTTCATTGAACCGTGTTTTAAATTAATTAATTCCCTTAAATGAAATGAACTTTCTAATGAATATTGAATTATGTAAAAATCCTCTGCAATATTAAATATTAAATTAAATATTATTCTTTTTGCACACATTTTGTGTATTGAAAATTGTTGTTAAATTCAACTTATTAGTATATTAGACCAATTAACTATATTAAACAAATTGATACAAATTCCATATATGTAATTAAAAAGTAATTAAAGGGCATGAGTTCATGGCAAGTAATTACAAAACACTGTGTCACAACCCAAGTTGTATGTCAATTATTATAATGATGCATTTTGTTAAGTACATTATTTTGATAAAGTAAACTTATGAATAATAGTAGTAAGTATTTTGGAGAGTACCTACCTATTTATTTAAAAATATGATTACTGTAACTATGTTTACCAGTTTCTCTTGTTCACCTAATATGTTGTGTAGAACAATAGTTTTTAATAATATTAAATTGTATTAGGCATATTATTTGTTTTTAGTGTCACTACCCTTTACTACATTCAACTTATCTTTCATTTCTTAAATATTACAAGTTCTTTTTTTAGTTTCGGACTGATTTCACATTTTTATATTACCTAGTTGGGTTATTAAAATGTTATTCCCCATGATCTTATTGTTGATGCATATTATGTGTCTTTTACAATTTATTAAATTAACTTCTCTGACAATAAATAAAAAAAATTATTGGTCGTTAAATTCGTGTCCACTAATATTATTGTTAGATGTTCAAAAATAAAATCATAGGACTTATAATAGTCTTTTTATATTAGGTTTCCTTATTTCACGTAAGCAGTGGGTATATTATTATATTGTAGGTTATGAAAGTTATATTATAGATTGAATTCACCTAAATTTAGGCTGTGAAACACATAATTATAACTCTGAACTAGATCCCCTATCTTTCATTGAAAATTTGATTGGATGTACCTATTACAACAGATTTTAATTGTTTAATTTTAACGGACTTCCTTCCCACTCCAACCCTCTGGTATCTGAATTAGCCACTCTCACAATCCCTGGAAATCCTACACAATGACTTAAAAGAAATTGGTGTAGAGACCTTAATGATTTATGAGAATAACCAATAATAACAACAGAAAGATAGAAATATATATATATAGATAATGTGTATATAAGAACAAAATGTAGTGTCACTGGATGACTTCTTCCCTCATTTTATTTTTACGTTTTCTTCTTTTAGTATAATTCATTTTTATTTTTCCCTATGGTACAAATTGTATATTCAAAATAAAAAAATAGTTCAATTGAGAAATTTGATTTTCTAAGAGAATATAGTGTTTTAAATACCTGAAAGTATAATAACTACTCTCCCAATTGTTAGTTTCTTTAGTTATTGCATAATGGCATTAAATAATAAATATATTCATAACTACACATTTTGTTTTTTTTTATATATTTACATACTCAGCTTAACCTATATTATACCTTTCTAATATAAGGAAACTAATGAAGTTTTTATGTGGGTGTATTAAACTATTGACAACAAAGTGTATATTTATTCCAATATTAATTTAGTAAAAATAAATAAAAATAAGAATAGCACTCAAGAAGCAATTCTATGTTTATTTCACTCTAGGTTTATAACTATAATATATTCCATTGATTTGGTCACCAAAAAACTGGAAAAAAACCACTAAATTTGATCTTCAATCCCTTATAAAAATTTTGAGATTTTGCTGAACTTTTATTAATTTCCTATAAAAAAACGTATTTTAAGTCTTTTATATTAAATGGTGAATCCTTAGCTTAGGTGTTACGCTTAAAAATTAGCCGAATTTACAAAATAATTAACAAATTACATCAATGGACAGCTTGTAAAAATATGATCTTTAAATGCTTATATTATAAAAATAAAAATGGGTGATATTTTTAGAATTGTTGTAAGAACGATATGTGAGGAACCTTGTACTACATTTTTAAGTTTGGTTTACTTGGAAAAATGGGATCATACATTTATTTATTTTTAAAGTCTATACATCTATACAAAGCACTAAATGAGCCATAATATTTTTAATTTTTTTATTATATCTATAAATGTTCGTATAATATTTGGTGAAAAATGCAAGTCTCTACAGTTATTCATTTTAGAATTAAGTACATCGGACAAATTAATTTTGTAGTTTTCCAATTATTTTGAAATAATAATATGAATTTTTCAAAATCAATATATATCATGTTCATGGCTTTGCTCAGAATCGAATGTAATAATAATTAATTGAAACGATTTTTAACAATTTACTCCTGCTAAAACTAAACAATATTTTAAAATAATCAAAACATTTAATTCAAGTTTTCAAGGATACCACATTCAATGGGTTGATAGTTAAAATACTTGTAGGTACGTGAAAATTGTCAGGTTTTGATTTAACTACAATTATAGGTTAGGTTACTTTAGTAGTACTTTCAAAAGTTGTAACAAATGTCCATTTTATATGTATATATTATACAGAGTGTTATGAAATTTTTTGGGCATTTCCAAACAATCTGATATTAATTATTTCTACAAGGCATAATTGTTTTTCTGGTAGTTTTTTTTTGTCCTTAAAATGGTTTTTATTTTTTTTTATTGATGAAAGTTGCCTCCTGGTATAACTAAAAATTGACAACATTTTTACATTTTTAATGAAAAAGCCTGCTATAGACAACCTTAAGTATAAATTATGTCATGTTTTTTTAGGTTTTTAAAATATTGAAGTACAATATTTAAAAGGTTTTAATGTTACAAGTTTGTATTATAATTTATCAATGCTCATGTATCTTAGAAAAATGAAACAATGTGAAAAACCAGTGTATCAGCACAAATAATGTTTTTAGTTTATTGACACAAGTTTGATTTTAAGTCATATTACAATTACTTTAATGTTAAATCTAACAATGCTAAAATTGTGTGCGTGGTTCATATGTAGAGTATAAATACTGCACTGACATTCCAAATCTTAAATCTATTGTAGAAATATAGATATCAATGGTTTTGTCTTAAATAATATAAGATAGTACCTAATGTAATTATAATATTTATACTTTGTATTATGTATAACAATATTCAAAGCTAGACAGTAACTAGTTAATAAATTAAAAGTTAAGTTATTAGTTACTTCTTTTGATAATATTGAACTAAACTACTTAAAAAAAAATAGAATATTAGATATATTAGTTAGTAACTAAGTTTTTCCATTTCATAAATAATTGTAACTTAACTTGGTAATTTTCTTAAAATTATTTTAGTCTCAATAACAGAAAAATAATTACAATTTTGTTGTAATATCATGTATAAAAAAATTAACGTATCTTAATATTATTATCATGAAAATGTGTAATTGAACTTAGATACTCTAATTCATTTATATTTTAAGATAACTTAATTTTAACTAGTTAAAAAAATTGGTTAACTTGTCTAGCTTTGGCTATATTTAAATGTTATAATTGTTAAATGTTTTCATCAAAAATAAATGACTATAAAAAATGATTATGTAAGTGCGGATTCAATGAATTTGTTTGTTTTTTTAAAATAAATTGTTGTAGAGAGTTGAATTGTTTATTAAATAAACATATTATACATTAATATTTTCTAGGGATGATGTGATTTTCAAAATATTTTGGATCTTTTTATGTTCTTTTTAGACATTTAACATTTTTTCTATAAATGTTGATTAACATTCGTATGCTCCATCAATCCAATCCGACAATTTTAAAGAAGTTAAAATGTTGAGAAAGTTTGTCATAATCACAAACATTAGCAAATTATTTTATAGTTACTTTAACTTATTAGTTATTACTAGGGCCCGGATTTAAATGCACTTAAAACCATACAGATATGCTCTAAAAAATATCCAAAAATTCCCTTAAAAAATGCATTTTACCACAAAAATGACCTTAAAAATGCCCTTATAAAATACAATTTACCACAAAAATGACTTTAAGAATGCCATATTTTTTTTTTTATAACAAATTGTAATTTGTACCTAAATGAGACATAATAATTATTTTTACATAATTATTTTATTAAAAAAAAACTGAAAATTTTAAATATTGACTGATATGATGTTGACACTCATGTTTTGGCCTTTTTAGGGGAAATAATCTACAGTCAATAATAAACTAAGATAAGATAAAAACTAAATCGAAAAAAAAATGACAATGTGTATGGAAAAACCCGATAAACCTTCTTAAATATCAAGAAAATAATTTATCTTAAGATAATTTTTTGAATAGTCCAAGTTTTATATCTATTTTGAACAAATTTGCATTAAAAACTAACAAAATGACCCAATAATGCTAAAAATGCTCTAAAAAAGAAAAAACGACGAAATATGCAAAAAAAATGCAAAATAAAATGTATAGCTTTCAAACCCTCGTTACATGGAACGAATTATGTACTTAGAAAGCATTGTATATGATCAACCAAAAAAATATGCACTTTGCATTGAAATCCGGGCCCTAGTTATTACTTATTACTTAGAACAATACAAAACTTTTTCCCTGTAATATTGTCCTCTTACTTTGTGCCAGGGAAAAATAATATCATGACCTGACCAATAGTCGTCTGAACTCACGCATTCTCTACCCAACGACAGCAGTTTGTTATTGCTAGGTACATTTGGCAACACTCAACTCTGTAATTTATATACATTTACACAAACTTTACTGTTTCGGCACAAATGGCAGATATTGTGCCTCGGAATCCGGTAGCTTCTATCAGTGCATGCTTTCAAAATGGTAATGTTCTTCTGTGGTGCTGAGTTTATAAACTTTATAATGTGCGTTCTGACACTTAAAACTTTTTAAGATGCCTTTTTATATATTTTGCATGCATATATTTACCATTTACATTGTTTGATTTAATTTTTAATTTTTGTCATATAATGGGTTCATATAATGATATTAAAATGAACCATAGTGGTAATTGTGACAACTGATATTATGTTAGTATATTTTTTCATGTACTTATTTGTGAATTATAACCTTGTTTTATATGTTTAGGTTTTTTAAAGGTTGCATTATAAAAAAGAAATAGTTTAAAATAGCTATAATTTAGATATAGGTTAGACTTTTTTCCATTACTTCCCCCCTCCACGTTGTATTGATCCATTGATGTTTATTGCTTAGAATCTAGACTTTATATTAAAGGTTCTCATACTGTAATATTATTCAGTGGTGTTATATACTCTATATACACCGTTAACTCAAGTCTCCATAAATTTGCAACAAAAAAATAGTTTTCATTAAAATTATTACAATTTTGCTGCGTTTACCCTCAGAAAATTTGAAGCGTGGTATAGACAAAATTAAAGTTTTTCAATTATTATTATTAAAAATTTGTGGGAGCTGGTCAGTACTTTTGTTGCTCAAAATGAAAACAAATATCCATTTTTTTGGATTGATAAGAGATAGATCCTATTTAATAGGTATATTTAAAATAGTTATAATATTTTACAGATTCATTATTTTGAATTGTTTTGGTTTAACTTGTTTGTGTTAGTTACGTAAGTATTATAGACATAAGAAATATGCGAAGCAAAAAGTTCTTTAGATTAGACACATTTAAATAATGAATAGAAAATATTACATTTCCCTAACACTTGCCCTATCTTAAAATGTGTATACTATAAATGCTAAGCCGAACATACTTTTGCAAAAATTATATAAATAACAAATTAATATGTTGTATACATATTATGTTTCCTCAATCAGTATTTAAAATATATTTTAATTAATAGCTGAAGTTGATGCTGAAGTGCTAAGAAAAAAAAAATGTGTAGAATATCAAAAAATGCAAGAAAACAAATTATCATTAGCACAGATCAATGGCCGTTTATCTCAACTACGAGACAAACGTGATGAACTTGAAGAAGAAAAACGTGCACTCTTGAATCAGTCACAAGCTACTGATGATAGTATGGCAACTGCTTTAGTAGTGCCTAAAACTGAGGCTAATTGGTATTAATACTATGAAATACGTAGTTTTTTATTTTGTTATTGGTCTTTACTAACATGTATGTATTTTTATATGTATTTTTCAGTGAACCTATGAACAATAAGACAGTAGTCACTAACAATATCAATAATGCTGTAGTTACAAATCATCGGCCGACCCCTTTACTTCAACAACAACAACAACAACAACATATATTTAGACAACAGACTACAGCAGTAAATGCACAGTCTGGTGCAGGATCTCCTGCTGCAGGTAGCGGATTAAGTCCATTGGCACAACAGTCTTTGATGATGCACAATTCCAGTACCAGTAACACTGGAGGTAGTAACCAAACATTATTGGTTTGTTCGCCAGCCACAATAAATGCTGCAAACAATCAGAACAATAATGTGACTCGTTCTACTATGTCATTAGCAGCTTCTTTATCTAGCACAATGACTTTTACAAAATTTCCGACGCTGTATAGCAGTAGTACCACTCATTTATTAGCGCCGGTAAATTAAAAAAAATAAATTTCATTTAAATATGTTTACAATGTAAGTTTCTTTCTAAGCTACTACATTATAATCACTAACAGACTTCTTGGTATACAATTCAAGCATTGTGTTATTGATTGTATTACATATTATATTTCCAAACTATTTTTCCTCTCTATTCACTTTACTTACTTTATGGCTCTACAAAATAAATTTTAATAACTACCTACATACTAACTTCCTCTTTAATGTTTCACTATCAATATAAAACATTTGTGGTTTAAACTTACGTCAGTATAATTGAAATTTATATTTTTTTTGTATTTAGAATGTTGGAACTAGTAACAAAATGGGTAGAACACCATCTCCACAACCCCAAACGATACAGCAGCAAAACTATCAACAGCCACAAATTGTTGTACCTTTCCCTCCATATAAGCCAATGAATAGTGGTGGTAGTACTACTAGTAATTTAAATTCTACTGCTCCAGCTCCTGTAGTAAATACCATAAATCAGTCATTAGCTACTGGAACCAATAGCAATTATCCTAGTAAGTTTTTATGACATAAGGTGCATTTTTATACAAATAAAGAGTATTCTATGTCGATGCAACAACGTTTTTCTATGTGATGAAAATATGAAATAGTAGCTTAATCCTCATCATTTGAAGAAAATTTAGAAAAACTGTTTATTACTTCATGTTTAATTTTTTTTTTGTGTATACTTTAATTTAGTTGAAAATTCAAATAGACGTGGAAATAGAGATGACACTTCTCAGTCATTTAATAGAAATGTCTGGATAAACAACAATTGCAACAATAGTAACAGTAAGAAAATATGACATAATTACTTTCATATAGTAGGTTTCCTATTTGGTTGAAATATACAGGTTATCATTGTGTATAGACTCTTTATCATCAGTTAAAAAAGGGTTGTGTAAAGGGATACCACAAATATAAATTATTTTTATCTTGAAAACACTCTGACTCCTTTTGAGCTGCCATTTTTGTTTTTATCATCAAATATTTAATTGTGAAGGGGTACATGTACAATAAATATTGTATATTTCAACCATGAATGTCTCTATGTTAATTTCATTTATGTTCCTACTATGTTTAAAAAAAATTATTTGTTATAAAAATTTTTTGTTTTTAGAAAATACGCAACCAAATGTCAGTAATTATGGATCATTTTACCAAACTAATTCTACTTCTGCAGTTAATTATTGTGTCAATAATGGCATTTTGTCTTCATTCCCCTCTTTATCTTCAGTAAATACTGTATATAGTTATTCTGGGCCACCACCGCCACCGCCTCCCCCACCACCAAGAACAGAATCGTCTAGTAGTGGTAATTTAATTGTGAGTACAGCTGGTGATCATGGAGCTCAGCAAATACCAAAGCCTCCTTCTTCTCATCAACACCATCAACCTCATCACCACGCACACTCCCATCCACCTATGTACATGAGCCCAGGCATTCGAAACCAAACTAGTAATCACACATGTATGTTTTTTTCTGTGTATAAATTTGTCTCAGTAAAAGAGTGTTTTAATAATGGTTTTGTTTTCATCAGATCACCCTAAACCACCTCATAGTGTCTACCCGGATGATAAGTCGGTACCTCCTCCGCCACCTAATTTTTATCAACAGCAAGGCAATAGAAATATTCATTTGTCAAATACTACTACAGTCGCGTCACAACCACATCAGATGGTATGTAGTTAAAATTTGTTCACTGTGAAATGCAAGTATTTTAATTTTTAATACTATTTGTTGAGTAGAATCAAAAACCGCACAATATTGGTTATCCTATGCGACACCCCACAACTGCATCTCCAGCTTCCCAACTCTCTCCAGCAATTATTCAGTCGTCTCAACAACACGTGAGTTGATCAATATATTTTATTCTGTTCAATTTATAGTATCTAATTTTTTGTTAATAATAGGCCTCATATACTGTTCCGACAAGTACAGTCACAGGGTATTCAAATAAACCGCCTGCCACTGTTGTTTCAACAGCCGATATTCCTAGATATCAACAACCACCACCTCAAACACCAATGTCTAGACATGAATAACAACTGTATCAAAAATAATTCTTGATAGTTGAAGAGAGTACCTAGATTAAATGGATTAATGTACTTTAACGTATTGCTTAGTTTTAATAATCTTTTAACACTAAGTATGAACAATACTGTGGTGTTCGTTATACAATATTATTACAATTATATATATATTTTTTTGTACTTTGTAAATTTAATGATACATACTTTTTTAAGTTGTTTTATATACGCGGGGGTATTCAATTATAATATTGAAATTTGTATGTATAAAAATGATTTTTAAATAATTCTTGATATGGTTTAAATATTTTAATTGTATAACTGATTAAATTATTTAATAAACTGATTGTTTAATTTGGTTACATAACACTTATATTTTTATTAGAACGTGGAATATAAACAAATATATTCTTCTCGCCAATCAAATATTACTCAATTATGAATGTTCTTCAACTAACCAAATTCTGAAATTTGGGATGAAGAAAGAAATTAAAAATTAACTTAAACAATGGAGTTTGAAAAAACAGATATCTACAAATTACAGTAGGTATTATGTAATTTACTTTGCATGTCGGAGTTTAGGAATAACAAAATCCAATAAATTGAAGTATGCAAGATCTTTAAATTTAAATCAATAATAAATTCTTGCGTTTAAAATATTTTAAAACATTATACAAATTGTATTTTTCAAAAATAACATCGTATATTAAAACCAAACATTACTGTTTAATAAATAACAAAGTTCAATGTGATGGTTTCTCAAACTTAATCTGCATGTAATTTGAGTTTCCGGGTTCTTTCACAAAACCCATTGAGCTATACCAATTAACATTACTATCTTTACACTCCAATGAAATCTTGTAACAATTTAGGATTCGTGACAGAGCAATCAGACGTTGAACAACGCTGTAAAAAGTTGATAAAAGTTAGTAATAAAAGTGTATAAAAGTTATGACATGATAATTTACTAAAAAAACTTACACTGATGTGAAATAATTGTATTATTTATTATACACAATAGTTAATTTTTAAAACTGATATTAATATAAACAAGTGGATGACACATTGGAAAATATGATGTATAGGTATTACATGTATAAATGACAAAAGTAAGTATGGAATTATTGCATTAAATAAAGTAAAATACTGAAATCATATGTGGAACTGTGTTATCTATTTATATGTTGTATTTTTCAAATATTTTTAATCTATTAATCATAATACTTGAAGTTTTGGTACAACAATTCTAGTTGATTCAAAAATAACTACCTACTTATTATAAATTTTTTAAATAAAGCTACTTACATTTTCCCAAACCGTTTTCCTCTGCAGTTAGAGTCAACAACAATATCTTCAATTCTACCACGCTGCAATTCAAATACATAAATTAATAAATTATTTTGTAGATAGGTACGTGTAAAAACTGAAATTATGTCTAACTTGTCCACAGAGGTGTATGAATTTTTTTTCAATGGTCAGAGAACCGGTCGCCACTATGCAGTTCTCCTCAGTATCCTCGACGACAATTATGTAATATGTACCACTGTTCTTTTTCATCACTTCAAAAGTGTCTAAAAAATGATGACATGACTTGTGTTAATAGAAGTGGAAAAAGACACTACAAATAAAGAAATAATAATTAACAGTCCCACTAACTCAAATACATCTGTTGAGTGACGCTTCCCGTCACGGTCAGTTGAGACAACAAATCCAAGTACCCTGCGATATAATAAATAAATTAAATATGCTTGAAAATAGAACGCATCTGAGCAAAAAACCACTTGTTGCGTACCATAGTCATAGTCTGTCAAGCACAGGGGTCTTAATCGGTATTTGCAGCTACCGTCGTCCACTGACAGTTGGTCAGTTCGAGTCGTGTCGTCGGCGGCGGTGGCGGCGGCCAGCGTTTGTGGATCGAACAGGTAGTCGACGGCCATCGTGGTTAGCACGATATGAGCATTAGAATGGCGAAACGGCGGCCTCGGCTACACGTGTTGGTCGCAAGACGAAAACGTATTGCGTTTAGACCTGATCAGCGACAACGATCGTTCACCTCGGCGCGGCGTTGACGAAGATCGATGACGACGGACCGTCGACGTCGAAACGTGCTCGAGTGTTCTACCTCCACACCACCAGTCACCACTACTTGGACGCGAAATCGTGCATTCCTCGATACGCGGCCTCATATCGGCGTGTTTTATTATTACTATATATTTTCGAGTCTCGGCGGCCGTATTTCGCTTTCACCGCTAACAGGTTATCAGTTATCACGAGCATAATGATAATAATAATTACTATGTTCTATATAAATTGTGACGACATTGTCACGAGCTTGGCGGAGTGTGTGCCGTACTATGATGTGCATCGTGTATGTACCATGGGGTTGCGGTGCGGTGTTGCGTGGTGGTTCGGAAACGCGTACGTCTGACGTCGATATTGGGCACTGGGCAGCGAGTCTCGCGACGTCGTCGTTTACGGCGCGTGCGCGTCCGCACGAGTGCACGACGACGGCGGCGGCAGCAGTTCAAGGCCTCACGAAGTCGCGACTTGCGGCGGCGATTGTTTTGAATTATTATTTACAGAATACAGATTATACAACTAACAACTGTATTATACCATAGACCGATAGATCTATAAAAGTATTAGCTGGTTCGAAAGTCTGTGTTGTGTATCTACTGAACAGATACACATCTACAAGACTATACAGTAACAGTTAACTAGATTTTAATGTTTTTATAATCAATGACTCGTCTCTATCATAAAATGTGGCATAACAATGTTCAATATTTTACACCTAACTTATACAAAATCATGTACAAGTCACTCTCAAATTATGTGAATGTCTGTTTTACCATACCTAGAAAAAAATTACTACCATACACCCACATTAGTAAGTAGTTTGACGAAAACGAAAACGAATGATAAAAATGTGTAGGTACTTACTTAATAGTACTTACTACTTATGTCTTATATAAGTTATGGGATTTCGAAGCGTTCATATATTTTCAAAGCATCTGGTTGGTGGTTCTACATTTTTACCATAATAAAATGATTATTATTATTTATTACATAATATTTTCTTACTATATTATGACTATTATTATTATAATTATAATTTGTATTATTCATTGTAGTATTGTACTATACCTCTAAATTCTAATGATGACATCCAAAAATTCCGAAAATATGTTTACGAAAAATATTATGAACTTTTAGCTGTTGTTTACTAGTTTACCACAATGTATCACTCATAGTCATTATGCGAATATATTTTTTATTTTAGTATCTAAGTATTAAAAAAGAATATTTATTTGTATTTTAATTCAAAGTTATTAAAACGTTACAACACAAATTGTTAGTTGTTACAAATTTACAATATATTAGAGTAGGTAGGTACTCTGAACTCTGAAGTACAAGTCCAACACAATATAATAATAGTACCTAACAACCAACGTTAAGTTCCTGCAAGAGACCTAGCATGTAAAAAAAAAAACAAAGCTAGTTCCTACACACTACACGGTACACGATAGAAAAATTTACACAATGTAAAAATGAGATGTGTAAGTAGTGTAAGTACTAAGTTCCTATATGATCGGAAAACGTTCTCATATATAAATATTGATGTGTCCAACCATAATTTTTTAGTCTGTGATTCTAACGTGAAAAACTAAGTGACGCCTCGATTTGTTAGATCATTTTGCAAAAAATACGACTAGAGTATTTATATTTCATTAAAGATAGTATTCTAAAAATAATTTGAATAAACTCAGATTTTGAGATTGATTTTGAAAATAAATCTTCATTTGGCTATCACAGTGAGTACGTATGTTATACTAGTGACCTCATCCATTTTAGAAACACTCTTTTTAAAAATTTTTTTTTTTACATGTAAGAACTTACACATCTCATTTTTATATTCGTGTGGGAAATTACACATTTCATAAGTAGCCATTAACATATGCAATTTCTTACTTTCGTGTAGGAACATACGATTCCCCGAGCAAACGTATAGTAGACCCGGAGAATACGACAAATTTATTTTTTCGCCGTGACATCAACGATGATCTGATGACTTCTTTTAATGGAGACAGACCGGCATAATGTCATGTCATAATATAAATTATAATATGTATAACTACCACTGAACACTGTGATATAATAGTATAATATATTAATATATAATATGCTATATTGTATATTATACATCCTATACAGGCCATATTAAATGTTTATAGGTGGTTAGGTAATAGGTTAGGCGGTCACAATAACAATAACTTGCACACATCGTTAAGAGTAACTCATATTGGAATCGGCATTAAAAGTGAACTTTCGTTTAATAATTTATATAATATTGTGTTTACAGGAGTATAGAATTGATTTTGTCCAAGAACTCACATAGATATTATGAATTATGATTATGCAGTTGGATAAACGAATAAACGATTATGAAATGCCCGATGGAGGTGTGTGTAGGACCTAGTGGTGCACGCTGGGGAAGGTTCTAATGTCCCACCTAAAATTTCTACCTTCTACAAAAAAAAAAAATTATTTTCCCCGAATGATATCGAGATAATTGTTTCAGTTTTTTGTTTTGCCTAAACATCTGCAATAAGCGTAATGTCACGTGTTCACATATCATCGATTATTACTACGTTTATTATGGCTTTAAGAGGCTCCATAGATGCTCAGGGTAAATACTCTAAACGTGAACTAAATTTGTGGCTAACTATATAATTTGTTTAAGCCAATTCACAGATATATATCTGTGAGCCAATTATATAAAAATTGATTAGAAAAAATAATTTAAATGAGAGATAAATCCATCCCACGGGTCTATGGTTAATCTCAGGTATATAACCTTAACCGAATTAAAATCCTGCGTACGTCGCCGTACGATCGACGAGGAACTGGATCCCACCGCCATGACTAAGTATTGGAAGGTACCTCTAGCGGTATACCGTATTGGTACTCCTATTACTCTTGCACTCTGCAGGTCGTGGAAAACTCAAATCTCTATAGTAAATGCATATTTTTAAATCTTTATATACACTCATATAGTCGTATATAAAAGAACAGGCCTTTTTTATGTACTAATTTTGTGACAACTTTATTCCAATTTTTTTTTCACAGAATTGTTCCGATTACCTTCCTAAGTGTCACCACTTCGCCCGATTTTCATGATTTCGATTTTAAAACGTTTAAATAGGTAAAATTTAATTGTTTACGTACAAATTGTGTATAATATATATATTACAGCACGGTGACCTATGGGCTTCCATAGCGACATGCAACCATAACTTTTTGTCTGTCCTGTCTAACCATATGTTTGATCGGCGTGTAGATATGAATTGTTTCGAGAAGTAAAATTCTACAATTTATCTTTATCTATCTATTTATATATAAATAAATCTCTATTTCCTCTAGTCGAGGCATCACGCTTATCGCTTATTATTTAAAACAGGCCTATCTATCTTCTATCTATGATTTAAAACAGTTATTATGTAATTTCTTAGTGCTCATTTCACAGTGGAATCAATCGGAAGATTAATGAAAAATGTTATAGTGATTTTTTTGACAAGTGTTTGTTTATCAGGTTAGTTTAAGCAATCACGCTTAAAATTAAAAACAAACTTAAGTCACCCGCGGGCCGCTGTGCCATAAAATATGTGTGTAGGTATACAATTTGCATGTTTATTTTAATTAATAACTAATTTTCCGCTCAACTTTCTTAATTTTTTAGTAAAACTTGGTATTTTTTAATTTTTTGGTTGCCATTGGTTAATCGGGCAGATCAGGTTTAAGAATGCATCAAATTGAATTTTAGTATACATTGCCTAAAAGGTGGCTGTCGCCTGAGTTACACTTATAGCCGCTCATCGGCGTGTACGCAATCAAAATAATTAACTATACAAATAATAATCATAACTATAGAACGGTGAAACACGATTGAGCACGGTCCCTATTTTGAAACAACCCGATTGAGCACGATCCATATTTTTTAACAACCCGATTGAGCACAGTCAAATGAATGCAACGTTGCCAATTTTTCTGTCCGACTACAACCAGCTAGGCTACACTCGTATTTTGAAATACTAGTACCTATATATAAAGCCGGTGGGAATATTTGTCAATCTTTGTGCTTTACTAGTCGTATGGGAGGTATTTAACATAGAATGGTGATTATTTTCAATCGTGGTTTCCCATCTTTTGAAAGCGGCACGAGTATAATCGATAAATAATATACGAGTCGTGTAGGAAATTAGGATCGACATAATCGTCGAAATAGGTACACTCATGCATTGTCGATTACGCCAATTAAGATTATCTGTACGACTGTAAGATTGGATATTATTTGTTATCTATATAATATATAGTCATATAGAAGTGGGCTTTTGTATTGCAAAATATAAGTAACTTTGACTCAATACTATCAGGCGTTATAGTGGTTAGTGGTCGTTCGTCGTTAAGCGTTAGTACGTTACACCGTTTTATTTTAGATAACTTTTTTTATATACGTAGAACGCGATGGACAATAGTGAAATAAAAGTTATTTTATCCGAGAGAGGAAAAGAATTAGCCAATGTTGGTACTTTTAAGTACAGATTTATTGGATCGATTAAAAAAGGCGAGTTATTAAAATGGCGATGCACAAAAAATAATTGTACAGCTATGATTTATTCTGGACCAGATAAAAATATCGTTATTAAATCAAGTGGACAACATAAACATAAAGGAAATTCACCTAATAAATTAGAAAGGCAAGTATTACGTGAAAATTGTAAAAGACGTGCTGAAGAGTCACTATCAACTCAACCTTTAAAGTTGATTAGAAGTGAACTTTTAAATAAACAATCTTCAATTGTTCATAAAGATTTAAAAACGGTTCGTAAAGCTATGTACGATAGACGACGAAAAGTACTTCCCAAATTGCCTAAGTCACCGGAAGACGTTTTTTTACAGTTGAATTTAATGAAAACTCAAAATGATTTTAAGTTTCGTGGACAACCATTCATACATATTCCCGAAGACAATAGTTTTGTATGCATTACTTCTGATTTCAACCTACTATTTATGATTAAGCATGATTGTATTGATTTTTTCGCCGATGGTACATTTAATTACGCACCCAAATATTTTGAACAACTATATACTATTCTTGGATATAAAAATTGCTATTATTTGCCGTTGGTTTATTTTTTTTTATTTAAAAAATCAAAAGATACATATAAAAAAATGTGGATATTCCTACAAAACTTATGTGTTGAATATACAGGAAGTCAGTTCATATTAAAAAAATTACACGTTGACTTTGAAAAGGCAGCCCACCAAGCCGCGTATGAAGTTTTTGAAAATGTACAATTAATAGCTTGTCGATTTCATTTAGGACAATCATGGTGGCGAAAAGTAAGTTCAAAATAATTTCAAA